ATCTGGATTTCGCAGAGCTTAAGAAGAAGGCTGCAGAAGTAATAAGTACGCAGTCTTTCCTATCAATGGACCATTACACAAGAATAGTGGCTGCACGGCCGGTAAGAGAAGACACAAATAGTGCAATCGCTCTTTTGAGTCGAGATATCTTCAAGAATACGAAAATAGTAATATCAGATAATGGACCAGTGTTTCTCAGTCAGCGTTTGCAAGATTGAGCGAAGGAACGAGGAGTTGTATTGCGACGCTGTGCTACGTACCATCCTGCAGAAAATGGCATGGCTGAAAGAATCATTCAGGATTTGAAGCAGTTCATTTCAATGTATTCAGGTTTTCAGGGTGGATGGAAGTGCTGCTTGGAGGCAGCTTTAGCTCATCACAATCGGTCGCACACTGCGAGCATCGGCAGTAGCCCATATTTTGCAGCTTTCGGAGAGGTACCAGTGCTCCCTGATGATCAAAAACTTTGCATTGCAGACTGCCTACCATTATGCGAAAAATTAAAAACTTTGTAAGCCTACCAGCGATACCGGGAAATTATGAAGAGAAACTTCGACCGCCGCTACAACACGCGGATACCTCAGATACAACTGAACGATCTGGTACTCGTCAGAAAAGGCCTTTCCGGCACAAAGCAAAGGTACATGGGACCTTATCGCGTAGTGCAGATTGCAGTGCAACATGGCGTTCTCAAAAGGGTTGGTTACACCAACGATGACGGTGTGCTGGAGTTTGCGACCAATGGAAAAATCCTCATGTATCACCCCAGGAGGGATGAGTGTTCAAAGAGAGGGGGTGTACGTGGACGTTAGGCAGGGTTGGAGGGAAACGAAGAGGAAGAAAGTGTTAGAAATAAAGAAGATGGCTGACACCCCAGCTTAGTATTGTGCATTATTACAATAATTATACGCCCATATTTGGCATGTTTCTTATGCATAAAATAATTTATTCAACCCACCTTACGTGGCCATTTCTGTTAAGCCACACTGCCATAGACAGCACCTACATGATTGATTGATTGATATGTGGGGTTTTCGCACCAGTTCGAGTGCCCGCCATACCAGTATAGTGCCTAGAATGTACTTAAAGGGGCACTGACACAAAATTTTGCGGCCGTGATAGCCTGTAGGGTTGATTTCCAGGAACAATCGTATATCACAAGCAAAATATCAACAGCGAATATATCAACAGCCCCCCTCACGGTGATCTAGTGGCTAAGGTACTCGGCTGCTGACCCGCAGGTCACGGGATCAAATCCCGGGTGTGACGGCTGCATTTCCGATGGAGGCGGAAATGTTGTAGGCTCGTGTACTCAGATTTGGGTGCTCGTTAAAGAACCGCAGGTGGTCGAAATTTAGGAGCTTTCTACTACGGCGTCTCTCATAATGAAATGGTGGTTTTGGGATGTTAAACCCTACAAATCAATCAACAGCGAATAAAGCTGGGGAGGTATTTTAAAAGAAATTTGAAATTTGCGTGAGCTCTCGGCTCCATCGTGGCATTGACACAGTCGAAAGGGACCCATAGGGGACCCCCTACTTCCCTCACATCAGCACGCGGTAGTCAACAAAACAAGTTATGATGACGTCATGCCCGCCATTTTTCTAGCCTCGTTTGTTACCGCGTTTATATTTCTCGGCGGCTGGTTGCGAGTGCGTGGTTGTGGCGCCGGGCTTAGAATATTCTGTGTTTGCCGACATTGTCCGGTTTGCCGACATGTCCCGTTTCCTATTCGAATGTATTTATTGATGCAGACCGTGCGGAAGTGTGTCACAGTTCTGTGTGCTGACGTGGTCAAAAGCTGCACATGCTAGGCGACGACTATTGCACCCAATTCTCTGAGCTCTCTCAAACCAAAACTGAAACTGGTCGATAATAAGGGGCCTGTAAATACTTTTTTGTCACGTGTTGCAGCAAACGATGTGTCGTGTCATGACCAAGAGGCCCGCAGCAACACATTGAAGCAGAAAAACGCGAAGCCGAATTTTTGTGTCAGTACCCCTTTATGTTTATTTGAGGCCCTATAATACCAGCATGCAACAAGCCTAGGCGTAACAGCGGGAAGGTTTTGTCAACGTTGGCTGCTTCGGTGTCCATCTCTTTTTTTTTTTCCGAATGAAACAAACTGAAACGACTTGCACATTCATAATATTTAGTGGGAGCCTCCCATACCTCAAACGAGAATCATATACACACAGCCTGGAGGCAAATTTTATGTGGTGTGGATCGTCCTTGGCTCGTTGGTCTGGAACGTCAGACCAAGCAGTTCACCATACCCCACAACACATGAAAGCTGTCTAACAAACTGGACAGTTAGGAAACGAAACTTCGCAAAATAAAGGTCTCATGAATACGAAATCACCTTTCAACTTCAGACTAGAAAGAAAAAAATAAAGAGGGCTCATCTGGCATTGGAACCCGCGACCACTGACCTCCATTAAAAAGGCCGGACGACGCATCCCCGCTCACCCATGCGGGCGCTTGTGAAGCCACCGGAAGATCCCTTAAGTGTCCCGGAAGCTGGCGTCTTCTGGACGTTTTAGGCGTGTAAAATACATTATCTGATGTCAGTTGTTGCTATTGTAATTTGTGTGCTTTCTTTTTATGTTATATCATTTTCGCGGTCATCCAAAGCTACATGAAAAGTGACAGATGCCAGAGTGACGCCCTCCTAAACGGCGGTGTGCTGTGATCTGCAACTAGTGCATGCAACAAACCCTACCATTAGGCATCACTTGTGATGCCGACCAACGCTACACAAAAAATGACAGATGCCGTAGAGACGCTGTTTGAATATGACGCAGTGCTGTTGCGTACAACATCACAATTACTCATTAGTTAGGTGACAGAGAAAAAAATTGTCACAGCAATTTTTTTCGAAAAACTTGACCCTATATAGGCATGTTACACTGCAAAATGTCATTGAAAGGTGATAGTCTTGCGTCTAGAGAGAGTGAACAAAACGATTATTTGATGCTCTGCGCAAGAAAATCGGGGAGTCGTATTCTCGAGGCACTGCGTTAGAGTGCCTCGAGCGTGCAGCGTAGGCGAACAAGCGCATCAAGTCACGTGAGACATGAGCGCTATCTGGCAGTTATCTTGGAAAACGCAGCGCGCGGCATGCGCACCCGTCTCGGAGGTGATAAGGTGTACAACGCAAGGCGACGGGTAGGTGCCACCACCGTGTTGTCTTGGCAAAGCGTTGGAAACACTTGCCTTTTCGTGCAAGCATGGCATGGTCAGCGCAGCGTGCTAAACGCTACGGTCCTTAGAATTACTTATGTATGCCTTTTCTAGTAAAAGACACACACCGAATATTGACGTGTTGTTATGGTGCCTCAGATATGCGCAATAATTGCTTTTAATTGACAATCGCACAAGTTTTAACGCTGATCATTGAGCAATATTGGTAAGTGCTGAGATGGGGTATCGTCTGGTGCCTTTTAGGGTACCGTTTAGGGCAGACAGACAGACTGACAGACCAACAGACTAAAAGTTTTGCGTCAAAGGTCCCCAAGAAAGACGTTAGTCTTTCTTGGGGACCTTCGACGCACGATGAACGGATAGATCATTGAAGAGGAACCACAGAGGTAAGCGTGCCGCGAGCAAACCAGTTAGTCTCCAAACACGCTTTAAATGGATGAACCACCTGGGGAATGCAGGCAGCACGCAAAGCGTTGCCAAGGTCACTAGCCGTCCTCCTTCTCTCCTGGTTCAGTCTTTCCCCGTATTTTGCTGGTGACGGTTCGCGCTGCGTCGCACTCGGACTGCTCGATCACGACCGCCTGGATCCGACAATCTAGGAATTACGACGTGGTGCTTGTGTGTACGCTTGGATCAGCATGGGCTGCTGCTTTTACGTTTCGCTGCACCCATGAAGTGTGGAGCAAGTCTCGGCATGTCACAACGCCGCGCTGTATATCTCTGGCTTAAAGATAGTCACGACCAACACACGACAGCAACAGTTGGGAAGGCCAACATGGCGGCCGAGAAGACAGCAGGCCTATCGGATATACTTCAGTCCAACTCAGGGCAGAAATCAGCGCTGGATTCTTTTGCAAGCAGGTTATCATTCTTTATTCTACTCTAATTGTCACGTGTGCGATACGGATCGCGCTTGCCGGCAACGGGCTTGGTAGTGTTGTATATCGCACGCACGAAATGAACCTAGAAGGTCAGCTTGGGTGTCTGCAGTTCGCCTGTGCTTTGCGACCACCTGGAAATTGGCCGCCATTGCCGTCGGCCTGCAGTACGCTCGCTCATCGAGTGCTCGCCTATCTTCACCGCCGCGATGAGCTCTGGGCTGACGATATTGGGCTGAGACCTCGTCGCTGTGTTGGGAGTCATCGAAAACACGTTGTGGGTTGTCGTAATGAGCTTGGTTGTACTATGTCTTGCGCTGTAAGTGCACCAGCACGGGCTGGCGGGCCTTCGCTAGCGTCGGAACTCGCTGAAAATTGGTCGCCATTACAGTTGGCTTTCTCGTCAGTCGGTCGCAAGCAGCTTGGCGCCGTCCGTTGGCCGCAGCGGCGGACTCGCGTTTGCGCGCTGCACTCGCTCGAGTTTGTGGAAAAGGGCCGCATTACTGTCGATTTCTTCGGCGCTAGCTCCAAATCAACTCGGCGCTGTTTGCGGCGGCGGCTAAGCGTACGCTCGCTGTCCTGTTCGAAGTTCGCTGGCGGCAGACACTCCGCGTGCAGAGCCGTGTTTGGTCTCGCGTTCGCTTGCTCGAGCTGAACGAATTCGCTCGCTTAGGACTCGCCGACTTGTTAGCGGCACGGTGGTTTGCGGAGTTTTGACTGCGGCCGCCGCTCCTAAGCTGTTGCACTACAGGGATCGAAATGAGTCTTTGACTATGTGTGACATCTCGGTGAAATTATTAGCATGTCATATCTGACGTATGTTTTTATTTCACCTTGCACATATTTCTCACATCCATTCATATTCATCCTCTGTCACGTGTGACTCACTATTTTACATACTTATTGTGCAGCCGTGGGCACACACCGTGCTGAAGGCTGTGTGCGCTGGCGTCTGTGGTGCCTGTCACCCATCTATTTCGTCAGAGCAGCTTCAAAAGGACTGTACGAGATGTGAAGGTAAAGTTATTTGTGCCTCATACTTTACACCCATACTTTTATATTAATTTGCACGTACTTGTCATATGCGTGAATCTTCATCTTCTGTCACGTGTGTCTAACTGTTTTTACTAACTTACTCTAAGTACAGCCCTGGGAACACAACAGGCAGAAGGCTACGTAAGCTGGCGTCTGCAATGCCTGTCATCTATCGCTTCCGTTGCAGGAGCTCCACAAGGAGTGAAAAAGATGTGGCAACGAGGCTGGGCTTGTACACTTCACGATGAATTCACATAAGAGAATGAAGAAACTTCATGTGCATGTAAAAAAAAAATAAAAGATTTCGATGTTTCACTTTTGTCTTTCGTTGTTGCCGTGACTGCGAAAGCAGTTACACATAGGTGGCTAACTACTTTTTCGCGTGTTCATTTCTGTGCTATTTGTTGCTCACTGCACTGAAAAACAGGCAAAAGAAGCATAAGGCCTGGCGGAAAATAAACAAAAAACAATGTTTGCACTGGGGATAAAAAGTTCATCCAATTGGAGTATTTGAGTGGATCAACCGTTCGTCTGGCGAGGTGCAACTGTGAGGACTAACGGTTGCCGGGTAAGGTGTAAATGTGGGGATTAACAGTTGCCTTATAAGGTGCAAAAGTGAGGACTAAATGTTAGTACTTTGAGGTGAATTGTTGGACTAACGGTAACTCACTGAGGTGTAAATGTGAGGACTAAATGTTAGTATCTTGAGCTCGTCTACGGGGGCTAACTGTTAGACCCGGTGCTGTTAATCCTTAAAGAGAATAATGGTTGTGGCAGCCCCATTAGTCTCAGAAACAATGAACGACATACCCTTTTAACACTCTTTTGCCTTAGAGTGTGGACGTATACAGCACCGTAAGCAAGAATACACTTACAGACGAATTCATGCGTTTTAAATATTTTTATTAGCTACTGAACGATGCGGCGACGAGGTTCTGGACAACAAAGATCCCCCAACGACGTACAATGAACTTACAAAAACTTTAATCTGAGGAGGCGAAAGTATCTGCCACCACAGAGTAAACTGAACAGGCCTCAGGCATTGACGCTCAGACTCCAGCAGGTCGGATGGGGCCAAGTGGGATGCTGCGCCGTGCAGTACATATTTAAAGACGCAGCTATGGGCAGTCCAACGGGCCTACGCCGTGGCAAAGACCTGTGGCCTATCACGCCTGGACAGACCTAAATAAAGTTTTTTCTGTATAATAGCATACTATGCCGTATCATTTCACTCAGTAAATACGAAATTACCGCTCTTTAGAAAGAATAGTAATTTCAACTTCTCTTCACTCTATGTAGCAAAGTCTTCAAATTGATTATCTACGTACACTTCGAAGATTTATGTTCGCATGCCGAACCTCCAAGCGCACCAACCACAAGTTGTGTTAGCCTAATAAAATAGATATGTTACCCAATACTCCTCTGACGTTTTTTGTACAAAATAGTACACAGTTAACTATCAAATAATACACATGCCACATTCATAACAATACCTAAGCCAAAAAGTCATGAATCTAAACGTATCAATAGAACCTATACAATATAAAAGTGAGTGGTAATATTCGAACAGTCTTGCACGAACAGCAATAAATATAAATAAGGAAGAAATACCGGTAATTTGATTACCCTAGCAAAATTATATAAAACTGAAAATATCAAAAAGCCGAAAGCATACGAACAGCCACATGAAAATAAAAACGGGGTCGTCTGGGATTTAAGCCTGCAGCTTTTTCCCACCTTACGCGAGAACAGTAAGTCACAAATAGGGCAATATATTAACGATTATGTACAATACTATGGTAACTGCCCTGGAGCTTGTCCGGAACAACTCCATTTTATATTGTCTAACTATAACAGAAACACAAGTATTTCAACCATGAACACTTTCCTTGCACTCCCATCCTTACACCTCGTAGAAAAGTATCCGTTTAACACAAATTTACGAGATATACCAGTAAAACTCAACCTTATACACACTTCCTCTTTTCCCTTGAGCATTGCTGTCTAAGCTGCGTAGCGGCTGTTGCTGTAGAAGGGAGTGGAAGGTTGGTTGCATGGTGTCCCTATTGTCTTGTCGTGGCTGCTGCTGCTGCTTGTTCAGGGATGGAGACCAGCGCCTTTCGACACGTTGCAACAACAACTTGACTTTATGTACGAGAACTGATGTACAGATTTACAGGACTCTTCACCGTTGGAACCGTCGCATGTTGCCACGGCAGAGCCGATAGTGCAGAGCACTGGTTGCTGCGACCGCAACGACCGTGAGGAAACGGGAGCCAGATTTAAACCCCTCGGTTTCCCCAGCTAATTCTCCTCACGGCTAACCAAAACAGTTCAGTCCGTTTATTGGACAGACTAAAACACACTTGTTGCAGTCCTTTTCTCTCACTCTCTTAATCAAGCCCTCGATCTCTCGGTCCAAGAGAGACAGAAAGAGACGAAAGGACGGGCCTGCACACGACGTTCTGCGAATTGTGCGAACGCACACGATGGTGGCGCCGTTTCGGCTGCGGGCCCATACCATTACTGCGCGATGACTACGCTGTCCAGCATAACAGCCGTCCCACGGACTTTAATTCAGATGGATGGTTGTCGATACACCGGACGTCCTCACGTCGCCTGCCAGCACTGTGCTGGCCGGGGACCACCAAGCTGGTTGTTGAAAGCGGCGACAGACCATGGTCTTCTTACCAGAACGGGCATCCTTACGCCGGGATTATCGTCTCCCAAGAATCGTCTCTTTGGGGAGCGCACCCTTTTGTGACAAAGAAGACTCAACCCCCTGGCCTGCGACGCCAGACCTTACAATACCATTGTCTTGCCGCATTGACCGCTATCACAAAGTAGGCATCTTTTCATGCTATCGAAACTTTCTTCAATTCATTTTTGCCACGCACATCAAAGAGGTGGAACCGACTTCCAGGTGACATTGTTGCTATTAGCTATCTTTTATGTGGTATTTTTGTTGATACAGCCAACATTGTATATTAAGATTCTTCGTTGTATACGCTAAAATGTACTATTATATAGTGTATTAGCAGAGATTGTATTTATAAGATTTTTTTCACGATCTAACCGTGTTAGCTGTTTTTGTTCATTTACATCTTTTTTTGTAAACAACCTACAACCCTCTGCAATGCCACTTGGTCCTAAGGGTAAAATATTCACTCAATAAATAATAATATTATTAATAATAATAAATATAAAATAAATACGTAATAACTATAACTATAGTAAACACTAATATATTTACATTACCGGTAATAATTACGCTATTGACAATATTAACGTTAACATAAACGATATTATTTATAACAATACCAGCGAGATACGTGATAAAGGAATTATTATATTATCCTTGCACATAAGTGTGACGTTAACTAAGACCTGTTGTGGCCACCAGGAAGGGGCAGCCTTGGGACGGGACAGCCAGCTGGTGCTGCAACGACGTGCCTCGGTACACAAGCACAGTCTTCAGGATCGAAACCTAGGCGTCCATGTGTGCGTCCTGGACTATCTGGATGAATCACTCGTGCGTTGGCGACAGGACCACCACCATAAGAATCTGCAGGGGCTGGTAGGACGGATTCTCAAGGCTAGTGTCCCGCACCAGCGTGTGCAGCATGAGCAGCACGAATGCCACCATCTTTCCAGATCCAGTCTGTATACCGGCCATCATGTGCCGGCGAGCCAAAGCAATTTTAATGGCTTATTTCTTTATGCAGTCGGCTTGACATACTTCGCGCCACAAGTTCTGCAGCGGCAAGTCCTACAGTCTCATTTCCTCGAAGCTGGTGAACGACATCCGGATCTGAGCGTCCCTAACTTCGACGGGAATGGCACTGTACTTCTCGAAGTTGATGTTGGTGGAGATGGTCGACAAGAGCGTGTCCTCATCCGCTGAGAGAGAGGGTGGAAAATAAGGTGCCTCCATTGGCTTGCTGTTGCTGTCCCATGATAGGCACAGGCTCGTTCGTGTAGTGTTGGCTGCGTGGCCCTTCTGCTAGCACTTGAAGCAACCTCGCGTCCGGTAACCCCCATCTTTGAAGCAGTCTCCTCCTCGTCCGCTGCCGGCGTCTGGGCTGCGGCATGCGCTCTTCGTATGCACTTCCTCGCCCCTCTTGAGACATCCCTTAGAACACCGCTCCTGCTGTGCGTTCAGGCAGTCCCGGCTCATATGAGCGTCCTATTCACAGTTGAAGCAGCCCCTCTTGGGTCTATTATCGCTAAAAAATATTGGGCAATCCCAACTGATGTAGCTTTCTTCGCCACATTTGAAGCAGCCTCTTCCATCACCTCTACTACCATCCGAGGAATCGGTCTTTGGTCCTTATCGGCTCATGTGGCCGTCCTGACCTAACTAAAAGCAGCCTCTACCATCCGAGCTGCCGCCACCCACAGAATCGGAGTATTCTTTGGGACATTCACGACTCATGTCACCTTTCTCTCCACACCTAAAACAACCTGTTCCACGGCCACAGCTGAGGCTGCGTTTGGGCAGTCCCTACTGCAGTATCATTCTTGGTGTCAGTTGAAACGCACCATGCTTTCTCATCCTTTCCCACAAAGCTCGAACTGGGCTCCACCTTCCAGCCACTGCTCGAATTTTCCTCTTCCCAGGGGTCGTCCGAGGCCACCATACCTGCAATATTGTTGCTGTCATCACACCAATGTAGTTCCAACCAAACCTGGCAGTACCATTGGCGTTTCCATAGCTGGACTTTGCCGGTGTACCATTGGACTGGCCTCCCACGCCTCAGCGTGAGGAATCGGTCGTGGTGGTTCAACAGCTGGTCGTCTTGCAGCCGTTGATCGATCCACAACCCATGAATGTCTTATCAACGCCGCGACCTCGGCCAAAGCCGACAAACGCTAATATAAAGCCGTAACATATACCAGCAAAAAAAAACTGGTTGGAAATTTCAGCGTCGTCGTCTTTTTTCTAGCTGCCTCGGAGCGGCATAAACGTGCACCGGTCTTCGTTTATTTCATCGTTATAAGCAAAAATATTTAAGAGTGGGTAGAAGTCTTACTATGTAGTCAGCTCCAAACTACGTCGTCTGAAATAAGAGAAAGAAGGTTATTGAAGTTGTCTTGGCAAAAAAAGGTAAAATCAAGTTATACAGCAAAAACCATCTAGCGATCTTCATCGTTTTAAAACTTCAAATTTTAGGACTCCTTGTTATTATGAAATCCTATTTATCGCAACTAGTGCCAGAGAACGTAACAACATGAAGGCAGACGAACACAGGTGCCTGTAGACAACTGATTTAATGCTTCTTTTCTCGCCTAGAAGATTTTGGCTCAAACCCACA